CTCTTCAACGAACTCTCACAACTTTTCATTCAGCCGAATAAACAGACTAGATCTAGTCATGTTTCAGGTTTACACACTGATTGGATAACTGCGAAAAGTTAAGACAAACTGGAGTAACAGGCGTCTGTGGCGTAGCGATAGTGCTCTCGGACGTATGTACAAGACATGAGTTCGGATCAGACTTCGGTTGGTCGGTTTCATCCAGCATCTCCGTCTTACTGCACGGAAACGGTATCAGTCAGGGGCTAAGCATCTAAATAATCAAATAATCACTGCTTCTTTTTCGTAATTTGGGAATCTCGTCGCCGTCAAATACACTTATAGACATAGGCCTCATAAATTTAAATAATTTAAATTTGATCCGTGTGCACAACACTCAAAACTTTTTCATTGCAGCACAAATACCCTGTTCACACCTGTCAGGTCACTTTCATAAGTAGTCACAAGCACTGATTATGTAAGCTAACAATTAGATTGATAAAGTCTAACTCCCAAAAGGGGGTGGGGGGCGGTGGCTAACTCCTAATAATCGCGTGGCTGTTGTGAGTGTTTGGTGTGAGTATTTTTCCTACACTTTTTCCGCTCTTGAATCAGGTCATGATAAGATTTTCTGGCCTCGAAAAACTATCCTTGCTGAAGATAGATAGATCTGAAATCAAATTGATAATAAATGATTGGTTGCATTGTCACCCATTCTTCTTTGCCTTCTCTTTGTGCATTTATATCTTTAAACTTACAGTTGAACAATTTTGAGACTATTCTCTCCACCGTGCGTTCAGAAGTTATTATTCCGTTTTGCACAAAGCGAAAATATAATTATTTAATGAGATATTATTTTCTCGCGGGTTTTTTTTTTTTTGGCGGGTGAACATACAATAATATGGATTCACCATTTGTTTTCATTCACAACTCGCACAACTCAGTGATACCGCCTCCAATAAGAATGTTAGTTAATGATGTTCATTTTGTAGGAAAGTTTCTCGTGCGTGGCCTCATCTCTACCTGATTCTTTGTCTGACTTTGATTACCATTTCAAACAATTCAGTCTTCTCCTTTCTATCCCGTTCCGCCGAGATTATGGATAGCGTAGGCCAGCTGTTAAAATGGTACTACGCCCAACATTCAAACTTTTTTTTTTTAATTCTAAATTACAGTCCCTTTAAGTTTTAGTAAGGGGTTTGCGAACTTGCGACAGAGTGGGGTCTTATAAGTGCCGAAGATTAGAGTTGTTACAAGAGAATAACAAGCACATTGAAAGAGAGGGGAAATAAACGTTAGTAGATGTGTGATAAGAAATAAGGAGCGAACAACATAATTGTTATTAAACGCGGAATAAAGAGACAAAGAGACATATAAGAAAAACATAGATTTGACCATACGAGAACTGAACTCATGTCTTTAGCGAGCAAGAGGGACCACCATAACCGTTAAACCACAGATAACAGATTATTGCAAGTTTCTTCTTACATTCAAGACTGCCTATGCAGTTGGGAGCACTGTAAAACATTTACCAAAACAAAGAAAAAAGCAAACAAATGCCCGACGTATTAGCCATCTTGCTTGTTTGTTTATGTTTGGTTGTTTTATTTTTGTTCTTTTTAGTGTTTATTTTGTATTGTGTTGTAGTGTATTGTATAGTTCTGTTTTGTTTTTAAAAGGGGTAGATGTGAGAGACAGGTATCAACTACATAGTTCAAAATTTTGAATACCTTAGAAGTTATGAATATCCTGTCAAAGTGACTCACTTAACAGTAGTCAGGAAACCAACCTCAAAAACTCTTTTAAAAAATAATTATAGTTAGCATTTGTAAAACGCAAATTCTCAATAGCAAGCTCTATGCACTTGATAATCTATTATATTATAACCCCAGCAGACCTGATAGCATTCTGAAATAATCTCAGCTCTATTTTAAGAAATAATGAGTCCTTCAACTGAATTTCACAGCACGAAAGAGATCATGGACACCTACTTCGTCACAAGTAAATGACACGAAAAACTGTTTACGCCATAAAAACCGCAACATTTTTCAACAGGTTCTTTAAAAGGCCAAATGCTCGTAATATGCTTTGACCATCCTAATCTTTGAGAACATAGTTGAATAGTTTTCAGTTCACACACTCATGCACGATTTTTCCTATTTCCTTGAGCACTTTTTATCATAGTACAATAGATTAATCACGCTTTAGCTGAGTGTGGTCTTTGGGTGTTATATCACCAAAAATTTGCAAGAAAGATAACACGAATTAGTAGCTCTTGTTTGTTTTTTGTTTTGCATTTGTATTTCTTTCTTTACTTGACGGTAAAGTCTTCAAATCTCGTAGACTGCAGGGGAAAAAGTGTGATGCATGTCTGTGAACTGCTCTTTTCCAATGATTGTGAATTGCTTGTTTATGAAGTATCTAGCATGCAAAACTGTGTTGATCATTTTTTATATGCATGTGAGAACTTTAGACTTGTAATAAGCACAGCAAAGACAAAAGTTCTCTTCTTGCCTGTCCCGGGTGATAAATCCCTCCTAAACTCAAAATACATAGATCAGCACTGAAAAATGCTGACAGCTTTAGGTATCTTGGCAGTACACTATCTTCAAATGCCGATGTCAATGCAGAAATCGCTATATGTTTAAATAAAGCTCTTGCATCCTTTGGAAGACCCAGAGCAAGGATTTGGGACTGCTGTGGAATTCGTACAGAGACAAAATTGAAAGTGTACAACGCTGTGGTCCTCCCAACCCTGTTGTATGATACCGAGAACTGGACGGTGTACCAAAGCCATGCTAAGAAGCTTATCCATTTCTATATGAAATGCATGAGGAGAATTTTTGGCATCAAATGACAAGGTAAAAATACCAGACACCGAAGTTCTCAAAAGGGCAAATGCCGCGAGTCTGTTTTCTAAGCTCGAAAGGACTCAACTTCACTGGGCTGGCCATATCGTAAGAATGCCTGATTTCAGAATCTCAAAGGCAGTGTTCTATTCTGAACTGTCCCTAGGGAAGCATAAGGTTGGCGCACCAAAAAGGCGCTTCAAGGAACCCTGAAAATTTCTCTGAAAGATATAACAAACCATTCGACACTGAAGAGCCTTGTTCCTGACAGGCCCAGCTAGAGAGCAACAGTCACAATTGGCAGCGGGTCATATGAGGTTTCAAAAATAAGAAATGGCGAAACCAAGAGAGAAGCCTTGAAGCTGTACACAACCACAAGTGAAAATGGAGCCTTCATATGCTCAAAATGTAGCAAACTTTTTTTCTGCCAGAATTTGCAAGCCATCGTAACGTTTCTTTACTCTTCAAATTCTTCTATTTCGCTGGAGAAATGTTTTCCTCTGCCGATAGATTTGTCATCGTCAGACATGACGGAAAAGCTATTATTATTATTATTATTATTAATATTATAATTATTGTTATTATTATTATTATTATTATTATTAAAATTATCATTATTTTTCGTATCATTATTATTATTATCATAATTTTTATTAATATTATTCTTATTATCACTAATTTTTTTTGTTGGTGATGTTTTTGTTTTTATCATCGTTATTACTATCATTATCATTTTATTATTATCATTGTCATGTTATTGTTATTACTTTTATTATTTCTGATATTACCAATATTATTATTATCATTATTATCATCAACAGCATTATTATTTATATTATTATTATTATTTTTATTATTATTATTATTAATATATTATTACTATTATTATTATTATTATTATTATTATTATTATTATTATTATTATTATTATTATTGACGTAATTTTTATCATTACTTTTAATAATGTTTTCACTGCATAATCTTACTTATTTTTATATTTATCATTATTATCATCATTTTTATTGTCAACATTAATATTGTTATAAGCATTGCCATTTATATTATCATTATTACTATTTCTGTTACTAGTGTCGTTACTATTTTAATTATTTTCATTATTTTCATTATTTTTGTGAATATTACGAGTACAACTGTTTGTAATATTTATTAATATTTGTGATAATTACTGTGTGTATTGTAATTGCCCTGAACCCTTTCTTCTTTCTTTTATTTTTTTAATTAGTTATTGTATGGGGTTGGGGTTGTTGTTGTTGTTGGGTTTTTTTTGGTAGGATGTTTTTTAGGGGGGTAGGGGTCTATCAAAGTAAATTTTCTATGAAATGACATATTCGTGTGTAGAGTAAACAAATAATTAAACTAAAAAAAAAAAACGAACAAACAAACAAACAAACGAAGAAACGAAGGAAAAGTATTTCTAAAGAAACACCTTTTACCAACTGAGAACATGGCCAAGTATACCACAAGAGCCAGTAAATAGTACATTATTTGTTTGTGATATTTTGTTTGTTTTATGATTTTTGTTTGTTTGTTTGTTTTTCTCTGCAGAAAACAACTCCAGGCGTCTTTTGAGAACTCAGGGATTAGCACCTCCTATGGGGAACTCTCGAGCAGCAGACTACCTCTGAGGGTCCCTCTGTGTGACATCACGATGACGTCACCTCGGCCAAGCTCGGCCATGGACTTCAGGCGCCAGTCCACTGCCCGGGAAAGTGAGACAGGTGGTGTGGGTCTCAGGCTCAACCCCAACAGGGCCAGAACGCCGAGGTCTACGTCCGTCGTTTCGTATTTGTAAGTCATCTCGGTTTTTGGTTTTTCCGTTTGTTTTGTTTTTTTGTTTTTGTTTTGTTGAGGTTTCTTTTTAATAAGTACGATAGTAGTAGTAGTAGTAGTAGTAGTAGTAGTAGTAGTAGTAGTAGTAGTAGTAGTAGTAGTAGTAGTAGTAGTAGTAGTAGTAGCAGTTC